CTTTGGTGAACAAGTACTTGGTGGTGTTGGCGGATCAGTATTGGGGGGCTTCGGTGAACAAGTACTTGGGGGTGTTGGTGGGTCAGTATTTGGAGGCTTTGGTGAACAAGTACTTGGTGGTGTTGGCGGATCAGTATTGGGGGGCTTCGGTGAACAAGTACTTGGGGGTGTTGGTGGGTCAGTATTTGGAGGCTTCGGTGAACAAGTACCTGGTGGTATTGGTGGATCAGTATTGGGTGGTGTTCATGTTGGTGAACCGCAATTTGATGCTGCTAAAGCAGTATTCAATCTAACTGATTCCAATCGCGATGGTGTAAATAGTCAAGAAGAATTTCACCAATGGGCTCAAGGTGGTGTTCAAAATGTTGGTGGACAATCACATTCAATTTATCCAACAGAAGCAACAGCAGCAATAACAACGATAAATAATGAAAATAACTTATATCGTCCACAAGGAACTCCAGGTCTTACTCCTGGTGTAGCAAATATTCTTGAACAAAGTGGACTTTCAAGATTTTTTTAATTATTTTATATTTTATTTGATTATATACAAAAGACTTTCATATTGTGTCATGCGTCCTAGAGTAGTTGCATGTTTTACCGTATTTTTAATCATTATTTATTCCGTATATTATTTATTTGATTTAAATATTATTTTTCTTTTATCAAAGCTTTGTTTGATTATACCATTTTATCGTTCAAATTTGATAAAACGTGAAAATAAAAGAAAGATCAATCAAAATTTCATACTAACTGATACTTAAGAAAGAATGTTTCTAAGTATCAAATTGCTTTTGAGTCGGAACTATATACGTACATCATGTAGGTTCTAATAAGCGATGACTACTATGAAAAGAGTTTGACCTAATAGTTCATTATTGCCGAAATTCTGTATTTTTAGCGTATTTTTTTAGCAGAATGCTGTAATCCCTCTCAGAGACACTAGGAAAACTGAATTTCGAATTTCGACTCGAAACTTTGTATAGAAATAGGCCTTAATAAGAATGGTTTATTGTACAAATTTCAGATCTTTGGATTACTTTTATTCTAAGTTATAGATATGGTAAAAGAATGTTTTTCATACTGCTCATATACAACAGCGAATTCCAATATCTTGATATCAGAATAGGTGCAATAAAAGAATCTGTTATTTTCACAATAAGTTATTCTCGGTAAGGCATGTCTTACAAGGGAACATACTCAATTGTCAGTCTCAGTTTTGAATTGGATATATACCAGTGTATAGAGTTCGGCAAGCTGATTCTCGTGACATGTTCCTTTTTTTCCCCATAGAACTTCCAATGAGAGAAACTAATCGATTTTTCTCATGAATTCCTTCACTTTGGATAAGTTTCGAGATAGCTGTTAGAAATTTGGAACTTCTAGAGTGTTGAAAGCTTATTCATCATGTTAAAATACAGACAATGGCGCATATGATAGTCTATTTTTGTAGAATTTAAAAATATGAGAACACTATTTTCTTGTGAAACTCAATTCCACCATTGTTATACATATTAATTTTAGAATTGTTGCACTTCAAGATATTTCAATGCTCTTGAGAGGAAACTTTATTACGTATCCAAAAGTTGGAACTTAAGGTGTGCTTAAAATCTTATAGAAGTAGATTATTACATGCGACATTGTTCGTATTTTTAAATGATCATTTAAATTTTAAGCACTCTTGAAGTCCCAAATTTCTAGCAGCTGTCTCGAAACTTATTCAAAATGAAGAAATTCATTAGTGAAATCGATCACTTTTACTCATTTGAAGTTCTATGGAGAAAAACGGAATGTACCACGAGAATTAGCTCGTCGAGCTCTATATACCAATACATATCTCCTTCAAAACTGAGACTCACACTTTGATATCTTCTCTCGTTAGTACCAAGTTTCAAGTCAAAATTCGAAGCTTTGTTTTTTCTGGTGTTAATGAGAGAACCACTGTATTCTGCTATAAATGTGGTAAAAATACAATATTTCGACAGTATTGAGCTATTAGTTCAAACTCTTGTCATAGCATTCATAGCTCATTAAAATCTGCATGATGAACATAATTCGACTCAAAAGCGATTTGACATTTAGAAACGTTATATTGTTAGATCAATCAATTTTATTGATAATACTTCATAATAATCATGTTTAACTATTTGTAATCGATGTACATCAGAATATTTTATAGAATATTGAGTCTTATTCAAATCATGAAATTGGACTCGGCATTGTTGAGTTAAATAAATTTATCAATAATATAGATCATACCGAGAAACTAGATTATTTAGAACTGATAAAGTAAAATAGCCATGTGAGATACGAGCTAATTATAATTGCCTTTTGTGTTATATTGATAAATGATCGACTATAGATGAAGAATATTTTGTTGTCTTCACAAATGCATACAACTAGTTCGTTGAATAAAATATTCACTTTTAATATAATTCGTTTCATCGAACTATTATATCCAGTGAATGTAAAAAACTTGAAACTATTATCATGATTTCAGTGATGTAATACCTAGTATTTATATAGATGGATTTATCGTATGAAAATATTTATTTTCATTCAGTTTATAGAATTATATATTCAATTATATTACACAAATAAAAATTAAACAAAAAAACATGATTATAAATAATTTCTGAAATCGAAAAAAAATTTCGATCATTTTTGATCGGCATTATCGTCAATCCAAGCGGGTATAACTGTAATATTAAGTAACGGTAAAGCTCGTAAAGGCTTAGATGGTTTACTAGATAAACTTTCCATAGTTGATATTGAAGGTACTTCTTCATTAGTAGAATCATCTTGATCAAAAATACTTTTTTGTGTAATCATAGATTGTGGTCGTACAGATAGCGGTGTTATTGTATTTTGATGTTGTTTACGTAACCACATTGAACTACGACGTCTTTGTCTTTGATTAGTAACGAGTGCACCTGCTGATGTATTCAATATATTATTATTTTCTAAATCAACATAAATTCCATTTTTAACTTGTGGTAAAAGTTTAGCTCGTTTTGATGGTGTTAGCGGAATTGATGTCATACTTAATTCAGATGTACTTGTATTAGACATTGTATGATTACCATTTGAAGAAACTGATGAAATTTTACTTGATATTGATGAAATTGGAATACCTTTAACAACATTTGTTGTATTTGTAGCAACATCAGTTGAAGTTGATAATGATAATTTACGTTCACGATATGAACTTCGAAGACTATTAGTTTTTCTAATATTTTGTGGATTTCGTGTTACACCACTAGGTGGTTTTGTACGAACTATTTGAAAACAAGTTTGAGTTTCTTGTTCAGGATTTATTTTATCACTCCAAGCTAAATAAATAACAATATAAATATTTATATTTTATTGATTAGTCAATTTCATTTGGAAGAAACATTAATTTCAAAATGAAGAATTAAATAGAAACAAAAGATATTTTTTTCCTTTTATTTCAAATAGAATAACTAATTTTTTTTCTACTGCAAGAAGAATGATTTATCAAAATTCATGAAAATCAAACGACTTTAGCTTGGTTTCATTAGAATTTAAATATATGAGATTCAATTTTTTAGTATCAGTTTCATCTAAAAGACCAACTCTGACAACAGCAAAATATAATAAACCCTGGATGTTCCCAATAAATCAGTACATATAGACTTTGTCAAAGAAAACTCTTGATTCTATTGTCATATATTATATATATTTAGATAAAATAAAATTCACAGTACTAACCATTCAGTGATGCACGATCATTCTATAAAAGAAAAACAAAGAACAATATAATATATTTATAATAATAATAATAATAATACCAATTGAAGCATTCCATTATCTTGATCATCAACACCACAAGTTGATGTTGACATTGAAGCTCGACGTGGTTTAAGACCATTTAATGGCAAAGTTGTTTGTGATGATACTTCACTATTTCGAATAATTGTTTCATAAGAATTATTGCCATTATTTGATAATTTTGAATGATAGTTTTGTGGAAATAATCGATCTTTACATAGATAACCACCGAGTACAATTAAAAAGAGTATTAGTGCAAGACCAAGTACAATTCCTAAAATAATATACCATGATGGTGATGTAGACTTTGATGAACCATCTGTATTAGTACCACCATTCTAAAACAAAGAGAAGAAAAAAAAAATTTCAAATATAAACAAAATAAAAATTAATTTACTCCTGAAGAGTCATTTCCTCCACTCGAATTAGTTGTTGTCTCATTTCCATTAACAATTGTTGTTAATATTGTTGTTGAACTTGTCCAATATGTTGGTGGTGATAATGTTAAACTGGTTTCATTTGTATAAACAGAACAAAAAGTATCTGTTCTATTTGGTAATACATAATTTTTACATAAATCTGGTGTAGTAGCATTTGAAAAAATATATTTTTGCCCCTCAGTTGATGCAGGTGATTTACATACTGCTTGTGTTAATAGAGCCGAACCATTCTTTATGTCTGGAAAATCACTTAAACGATCATTAATAAATGTTACTAAATAATATGATTCACAATCACATATTAAAGGGTTATTTGTTAATAATATATTTGATATGCCAACTAGAAAATAAGCTGTACTTAGTGAACTAATTGTTGAACATGCACCATACTGTTCAAGTAAAATATCAGATAAACGTTCAATCTGATTATTATCTAAATAAAAATTACGTGGATCTGGAGTTTCAGTAAATTGTTTAACATATATTGGAACTTCATTTGTATAATTTATGATTAGGTTGTTACTCATATCAATAGCCATATATTTTTCTAAATGATAAAAATATTAAATTGAAATAAATGAGAAAATGAAAAAAAAAATCATTTACGAGTTTTAACAAATAAAGGCCAAAGGTCAGTATTAATTATTTGATTATAACTAAAATTCATTAAAATAATTGTTGAAGGAAAATTAACAAAAGTTTCTGCATCAATCGTAGGCATGGTTGTTAAATTATTCTGAGAAAGATTTATTGATTGTAATTGATCAGTTGCTTGAAAAAAAATTAAATCAGTTTCATTTATGTAATTATTTGAAATATCAATATCAATTAAATTTGAACCCAAACAAGCCAGTTCAGATGTATTTAACAAACCAGTTATAGCGTTTGATGAGAGATCAAGTATAGCAATATTTGGATATGATGAACACATATTTGTTGGTAATGTTATAAGAGGACCATGAGTACCAGGTGTTGATGAACTAACACGTAGTTGAGTAACACTTGCTTGAAGTGTTTCATTGATAAGTATAGGTAATTCAGTAAGATTGGGTGTGGAACTGCAAACAATATCTAAATTTGTATTATTCATAAGTGTACAATTGCATGAAGATATACTAGGACATAAATTGGTCAAAACTGTTGGCTGAACAAAATTAACTAATAATGACTATCATTCAAAAATAAAAATAGATGAGAAAAATCCTTGAATAAGTTTATGTAATACTTACAATTAAAATCAAAATAAAACAGACAAGAATTTTTTTTTGTTGCATTGTCAATGAAAAATAAAATATGTTGGTTATTAAAAATAATGAAGTAGATTTTCTTTGAGTTCTTTTATTCCCTCTTTCATTCTCTCTCTCTCTCTCCCCCTTTCTTTGCGTCCATAAACACGTTGTTCGTTGTCTCAGATATTTGACATACACAAAATATTGATTGTTGTTCGCAATGTGAAAGAAACCCAACAAAATTATATTGAAAAATAACTTCATGAAATTTATTAAGCATCCGTACACTTATTTTTCTTTGAATAATTTTCAATATTCTGAGGTGAATGATATACTACTGTAATTAAAGTTTGCTTATTCGAGTTCGTTTTTTTCATTTATGATTTATAAAATATTAAAATAAAAATATACATCGTTTTGATTGGTATTCAATATTTGAAAATTTTTTAAATGACTTTCACTAAGAAATATTTTATGTTATAGTTAACATTAATTATCGAAAATAAAATTATCAAATTTGAGTAATAAAACTTTCTTTTTGATAGTTTCACATTTGTTTCGAAAAACAAATGTTCAAGTTTTCTCGTGATGTAAATTATTAGAAATAAGCGTTACTATTTCATCCGATGTCATATAAATGAAAATATTAATCAAAAAAAAAGTTTTTTTTGTAGGTTTCACTCGTATATTTTATATTTTGAGAAATAAAGAAAAGAAAAACTATTTTTGTTTACGATGAACGTATACTTTTTTTTTATTTCGATCAAAAAAAAGAATTTCAGTATCAATCAAAATATTTTCAGAGAATATATTTAAGAGATTTTTATTAAAATAAAGTTTAAGATTTCAATGAATTTTTATGAAATTTTTCAAAAACAAAACATATAAACACGAAATTAAATGGATTAATACGTAATATGGATGGTTTTATCAACGGATATTGATTGACATCATGGAAAAATGATCATGGCGGAAATTATTGAATATATATTTTAATTAATCGTTCTTCTATTATACAAGTTATTTCATTTTTTTTATCTGTTTAATTCAATTTCCTCCAAATAAAGTTAAAAACAAAGAGCAAAGATGATCTTTGTCTTATTGAAAGCATGACTTTGAGTAATGATAATGACGACTTTCTTATCGAAGATATTAAATCTGTGAAGATCCTTATCGCTGAAAACGACAGATATTTAATTATTCAATTTGTTCCAAATTAAAGAATCAATTTATTTTATGATAAAAAAAATTATTTCGAGAAATGAGAAAATGATTAACCGTTGAAAGTTTGAAAAGAACATTGCTAATTAAAAAATCTTGTCACCTTGAACTTATATTACAGGTTTCTGCCCTACATTTCAATGTTTCTTGAGAACTTTCGTTTATTCAAAATACCTTATATGCATGTAACGAATGAGTTTTCTTTTTTCTGCAAACAATACACTAACAAATTTAATGTATTGATCATTCTTTCCTTCAGTCTTTAAACGAATAATTGAGATAACTAGTTTAATATTCTTGATATCACTGTATAACAATGTAGCTTATTTTATCGTTGAAATAACACTGTAATTAAAAAAGTTTTTTCTCTCAGGTTAAAAATAATTTAGATGAAAGAAAATTGTTTTTGTGTATTCATGAGGACATTGTTTTCTTCTTTTTTTACACTTTATTACTGTGATGAGAAAACCTTCAAGTTATGAAATCTCCAGTTAACATGAAAGAATAGATAGAAAAACCGTATCCCACGTAATAGATACCTATTTATCTTATCTTTTCCATTGATACAAACTGTAGAAGATTTCAATCCTGTTAATTCAGTTTCATTGTAGTTTGTTAAGAAACGAATAGACAAATGCACAAGAAAAAAGAAATTTTATATTTACATTCATGTATGCTTTTGTAGAGATTTCAAAATCGATCTTTTTTTACAATATCTATGCATGAATATACACATATATATATATATGTATATTGTACAGTCATAATTTCAGCGTTAAAAAAGACACTGAGCAAGTTCTATTGACATAAAATCCTTATCGAATGTGATGGAGAAAAAATAATAATAAACTTGTCAATTACATCTGATCATCATGTCATTTTGTGTGTTTCATATTACTGTCGGATTCCAGGTACAGTAGTAGGACATCTTGTCATAGGGGCTACAGTTGCTGGGTATCGTCCTCGCCAATAAACCAGCTGAAAAACTTTTTTTTTCAAATCAGGTAAAGAAACAAGTGAAACGACTGGTAACAGAAGTATGGCCCAATAAGTGATGAAAAAGCCAACAAGTTGTGCTTCCACATACGCAGCAGTTGGTACCAGACCACAAAATCGACCTACCCACATAATCGCACCAGGTAAATTAATTATTAAATAAAGCGATGAGATTAATAGTAGTTGACTTATCATTTTGCGATATTTTTTCCATTGAAACATTCGACGACCACGTCTCTTATGCACAATAACACGAATCAGAAGAGCTATACTGAAACAAGCTATTATCATCGTACATAAACATCCATGTATACCCATTTCCCATATTCCAAGTATTGGATCAAGAAGATGACAAGGAGTTGCTGAACATACTGGTAACGTATAATCGTATGTATGTTGACATGGTGGAAAAAAGATGAGCACTGTGTAATAAATAGTTGAATATAAAAGAAGAATAGCCAATGGGAGATAATGAAGCAAGAGACGTTTCTTTTGAGTTGAAATCCAATGACCATGAAATATGAGGATATGTCTTTCAACAGAGGCCCATGCAAGAATAATTGCAGCTGTATTATAAAACCCGAGATCAACTAACCACCATATCAGACAACGAGCTGGTGTTTGAGGCCATACAATACTTCGTCGAATAAAATCTAAATACCATGGAATATCAGTTAACTGAAAGATAAGTGCTAATATAAGTAAAACAACTATTGTATGATTGTGTAAAGCATGACGTAGAGTTCGATCAAATATTAGATAGTAAAGAACAAAGAAAGAACATATAATGGATGGAATATCAAAGATGAGCAAAACCCAAAATCGAAGAGATCGTGGCCATGAAATTTCAGAATTTTGAAAAACGTTAGTATCATTGTCTGCCATATAAAATGTATATTTAGTTCTTTTGAATCAATAGAGCAAAGTATAATGAAATATTATATCAAAATAAGTTCTGTAAGTTCTTGAATCTTTAAGATAAAAACATGCTCGGTGTTCTTAGTTAGAGTTAAACGAACATGCCACAAGGATTTCTCAGTATAGGCATGTATATACGCGACAACGTTACTCAGGAAAAAAGTTTGAAATTGTGAAATTGGTAGCAAGAAAAATTAATATGCCAAAAAAACATGATGAAAAAGCCTCAGACGACAAAGCAGTGTTAATCGTTCTACGTGTAATCGTTTTTGTTCTATCTGACTCTTCATTCTGTTTGTGATAGTTCGCAAGTGGAATAATATATTAGATTAAAATTAATTTTTTTCCTTTTTCTCGAATTGCGTTTCGCCACAACGGAGAAACGAAGAAATAATTAACGTAAAATATATTTATATATATGATCATAATAAACTTGAGTATTGTTTTTAAAGATTCTGAAAAGACACAATACGGACATGTTAGATCTGATATAGGTTGTTGTGTGTACGGTTATTTTAAGATGTTATTTAAGTTATTTTTTTCAGTTACTTTTCTTGTTATAAACAGTAATCTTAATCAGGTTTTTGTCAGAATCACACGAACATATCAATGATACTGATACGTGCTGCTAACTACGCAATAATAATGAGTCAAGGTTAAGAATAACGTTTTCTTGACTTTTCAAGGAATAGAAAAAAAAGAATAACAACAGAGATGAGAGAAAACGAACAAGAATTGTTAGATCAAAGAAAGAACAAAAATATATGAAGAAAAGAAAACAGAAGAACAACAATAGGAAAAATATCTAACAGAACGAAAGAAAAGATACGTATATGGTTAACCATATATGTATGAAGCGAACAAAAAGAGAGCGAACATATATGGATAATGTATATAACATTCTTCTTATGGCACGTCTTATTTACGTGCCATAACAGAACAGCTTAATTTACATGAATACAGAAGTAAATCAAAGATAAATTTGTCATACTGAATTATTCATATGCTAATGTTCTTTGAACACGCCAACATTTACCTCAAAAATTTAGTAACAGAAGAATTAACCAGTTGACTAGAGTCGGCCAACATTTTTAATCGTTTTCTTTCGTTTGGAGAGTGAAAATAGCACTTGAATTATTTCTATTCTCTATTTTAGCTATTTTCCATATTCCTATTACAATCTCTTGCTATAATCTTTCTTGTCTTATATGCTGACTACCCTTGTATCCATGTTTGTAATCACCTTTTATCTGGTGTTGTAGCTTGACAATGGATGGTTGAGGGTAGGTTTGGTTATTTTCTTGGTTTGCATCCACATCCTCCGATTGAGCCAAAGCTTTAACTGAAGTATTAGATATTATGTTCAGTAGTTATTTTTCTGTCTGAGAGAAACTGCTTCCTCTATTGGCGCAGTCCTCTAAAAAGTGTCCCGCTGAAAAAAACTGTTGTTTGAAAGGTTCTCCGTATTTTGACTTTTGTATTTAAACGAAGTAAAATAAAAAGACACGAAGAAAATGATCTGCGCCAAAAAGTGAGTAGCATCTCTAAGAAAATCTTTTGTTCGATCCGATCTAATGAACATGAGAAACGTTGGGGAAAAGTAGAAGCCATTTTTAATTCTGTTTGCCTCGTATGTCTTATGGAAGAAAGCATTATGGAAATTTTATTTTAGGATAACTTTTATTCAACTATTCAGCATCTGAGTTGCTTTAAAATTTCACAATTTTCAGATCAGTTGTTCTTGAGAACCTTTGGAAAATGGTCATTCCATACCAGAGATGTTCATGTTAGGTCTTTTTGACCAAACTCGTTAATTCGACCCGGCTGTGATCGAACTCGATCCGTCTCACGAGTTGAATAATGTTTTTTTTTTACCCACAAGTTACTCAACGGATTGAACACTCCTCAGCCCGTCACGGGTTACCCGCGAGTTAATACAAATTTTAGAAACATGAATTTTGACAACAGAAGTTGTTTAAAAAAATCACTCATGGGTTGGCTAAAGTTTTAAGTGAAGACTGATATGCATAAGATGGATGAAACCTTTTTATTGTACAACTTATTGGAAAAGAATGCGCGAAAAAATGATAAAATAAATAGACGGAAAAGATGTCGATCTTATCTTGTGTTTCTATCATCAAACTTGAAAAAATAAAAACGCACATGCACATGTACGCACTAGGAATCGGCAAAGCTGACTTCTTTTGGCATCGGAATCGGCAATATGAAATGTTTTGGGATGAGAATCAGAATCATCAGTTTCGATTTCAATTTGGAATGACTTATTCCATAATTAACAAGTAATTATAAACTATTCACGCTAACCTTTGAATTAAACATATTTGATGCTAGACAGAATTGAAAGTGTCTTCTTTTGCTGTTTATCAAATCTTTATTTAAATATATATCTAAATCACTAGTTTAACTGTTTGTTAAGCTGCAGAGAAAAACGTGCATAATCTTTTATAAAAATGTTGCCTATCCCAAAATTTTTGACTATCGAAACCGAATCGTGTCACAATCGGCAACATAATTTTGTTGGGATCGGAATCGCCTGTTCTTAGTACACGCTTCGAAACAAGTGGGTGAATGACTAGAATGAAGATGTAGTGAGAGCAATGGAAGAAAGACTCCAGATGTTGAAGAACCAAAGAAGTAATAAAAACAACTAAAATAGTAGAGGAACGAAGAAATAGAATGAATGTTGAGCGTAACTATCTGTGGAACGAAAGAATGAAGAATGAAAAGAAATGACAGTCAAAGTTTGTGAACGGAGTAACCTGCGGGTTACGTGTAAAACGATAAACCCGACCCTTGAGCTCGTAAACCTTGAAAATGTCTAACCCGTCAACCCATGACCCATCATAGGTCTAACCCGGGCACGGGTTACGGGTCGGGTTGGTCCGGTCGGATCAACTCGTAAACATCTCTGTTCCTTACTCTTTGTGGCGTACAATATATGAACAGCTAATGGCAAAACTACTGTCGTACATTATTCGTATGCATATGTCATTGTCAATTAGAATTGCTGATGTGCTAACAATCAAAATTAATATCCTATTAGAATATTAATTTGTTATCTCAATTTGCTCGAATAGAGAAACATTTTTGACAATGTATTGAAACATCCTAACTGTGACACCTCCTCTCTCTTTTTGAACATGTTTAAATTCTTTTAGAAAACAGCAGAAATAGCTACTCTCGTCATAAAAGATGCAAGAAGATGCTTAAAAAGGCAACTCTTATGTTTGGAATACGTGCAAAGTTTTTTCCACAATACTTTAATGTTTTTAGCGGATAACAAAAACTTTGTATGCGTTTTGTATGTCGTAATATTGTCAGAAAGCTTTTTGGAGGCTTTCAAGTTGTCAAATTTGTCTGTTAAAACTACCTTTAAACATCTTTTATGATGAAAATAAATGGTTCTCGTGTTTTCTAAATGAACTTGAAAGCCCTCAAATGAGAAGCATGATTACAGTATTTAATTACGTATTTAAAAATTCTTTTTCGTTTGGATAGTATTATATAGTTGGTATTTCGATGTCTGACTCTCTAAAATTATGTTTCGAGATCTATTATGATTCATTTTATACGTGTGGATAATTACTAGTTTTTCAGAAACTTTTCATACAAGTAGTCTTTACCTGTCTTCGAACTTCATGTGACTGATAGTCTAATTTTATTTGAGATTTAAAAGAAATCAATCACTATTACAGATTAAGCGCAAGATATAAGAGAATAATATTTTTTGTTTCTTTCTTTTATTCACTTAATTTTCAAGACATAAAAAGAGAATTTCTTTACTTAGCTTTAAAAGTTTGAAAAATTGTCTTCTATACTTCACGAATTACTTTTTTTTCCAAACTGAACGTTCCTGATTCTTTTTATATGTACAAAAAAATTCAACCAGCATATCTGTTCTGTTATTTAGTTTTATGTTTGTCACATTTTTTACATTAATTATTTCGTCATTACATTCTTTTTGTTTTATGCATCACTCATATATCCATCCTTAATATTTATCAAAGACTTCCATATGACACTATTATTTCCAAGCATGTTTTTCTAGTTTCATTTAGCAAAAAATGTTTTTTAATTTATTATCGTCAAATCGACTTTCGAACACACAATTATCATGAAAAGAGAAAAAAATTATGTAAAAAATAGTATTAAATGAACAACGGGAAAAATGTTAATTAATCTTTATATACTTTCACACAGCCTTTAACCGGTTTACGACATTTGACATTTGGACATGAATGTCTATCAACAAGAGCTTGACCACATTCGAAGCAAACACATAAATGTCTACAAGGTAATAAAAGACCTGATAGACCATTTGGACATACTCTATGTAGTATAATAGCTTGACATCCACCACCAATAGTTGGTGGAAGAGTTTGTGCTTCTACATCAGTTGGTCGATAAAGTCCAACTAATCGAAGACCAGTTACACGTCCATTCATAACAAATTCCAAACGATATGATGTTTGCTGTACTGCAGGATTGTCATTAACAGTAAGATCTATATTAAATAAAGGTTTAACATGACGATTATCGCATGAAAATGTAACATATCCATCAGGTAATACACGTAAACCAATTTCATCGCCTAATGTTAAATGATCAAATGATGCATCAATTAATGTCGTATGTTCATTCGACGATCTTCCATCAATTAAACAACGTATTGTTATATATGTTGATACTGTATGATCCATATCGAGTATTTGCATAACAATATACATACATCGTTTAAGATTTTCATCAATAATAATTGATGATGTTGAACTCCTTTTTACAGCTATATTATCTGATATTTCACAATTTTCATCACAATTTTTCATTGTAACAAGACCAGGTGATAATTCTCCACTATAATAAATCGATGAATTTTCTTGTTGACGATTATTTGTATATTGAATATAACGTGCTCTGGCTCGATCGACAGGATTTGCTAGAACATG